GCAACGCTGAGAGGCAGATGGACTGCGAGAGGTAGATGGCCAGAGCTAGAGCTGCGGAGAGAGAGTTTGGTGCCGGGGACTCCAGCAGAGACATCAGACTTCCCTTTTCTGGCCGGCATTAAAACCTCTTCTCTTTACACTTTTCAAGTTCCTTTGGTGGTAACTACTCAGCCCTCTCTTTGTTCTGCCTCGACGATGGTGAGGTAAGAGGAGCCAAGAAAACAGGGGTGGGGTGGGTAAAGGAGCATCATTGACTAGCCGCTTCCCACCTGACTCCTGCGAGAGCCTTTCTTGGGGCTGCCTTGGGGTCCAAGCCCTGGGATCCATCGCTCGCGCTGCATGTCATCACTTCTCATAGCACCCTTCTCGGTGCCTGTCAGAGGCCATGCTACTCTTCGCACAGACCTCTCACAGGGACTGTGTATTTTTGTATTCTGTCCTTTCTTTCTCCCCAGTTTGCTCATGCTTACCTTTTTGTCTCTTTTCCCCTAGGTGGTTTCACCGTGACTTAAGTGGAGTAGATGCGGAGGCCTTGCTAAAGGGGCGGGGAGTTCATGGAAGTTTCCTAGCTAGGCCCAGTCGAAAGAACCAGGGAGATTTCTCCCTTTCTGTCAGGTAGGTCACTCACACTTCGCTGTCTGCTATCCCTGGAGCATGTGGGATGCTTTGAACTCCTGCAGTGTTCCCAAGGTGTATACTGAACTGTGGTTTCCAGACCCATGAATTCCTCCCTGCATCTCGGCCCTTCTACCCTATGCTACACCAGGGATATGTTAGAGGCTTCTCTGTGACCCTCCCTCCAATTCCCTAGCCCTGCTTGCGCAGTCCACCCTGGGACACCTTGGGGGCTGTACCTTGTCCCTTCCTTTCTTCTGACTCCCGCAGCCCTCCTTCACCAGGCTTTTCTCTGCCTCATCCCACAGGGTAGGTGACCAGGTGACCCACATCCGTATCCAGAACACTGGGGATTTTTATGACCTCTATGGAGGGGAGAAGTTTGCAACCTTGTCTGAACTGGTGGAGTATTACACGCAACAGCAGGGCTCACTACAGGATAAAGATGGGACTGTCATAGACCTGAGATATCCACTGAACTGCTCAGATCCCACAACAGAGAGGTATGGAGAAAACATCTGTGCCTGGGAGGCTAATGCCTTCCCCAAAGCCTTCCTGCACCAGCCTCTTGAATTTGCTGGTCCATGAATTAGCCCTGCTGAAATTCCCATGTTTATAGCCTGGAGGCACACTCCCTTGGCACAAGACTCCCCAGGACCCCTCCCTCAGTGCCTTTTTGCAAGGAGGTCTCTGATGTTCATTGGCATCATAAAAAGTTGAGGTGGCAGGGCCCTCAAGGTCACCCAGTCCAACCCGACCCCCTGCTAAAGGCAGGATCATTGCTGTCTTAGCCATCCTAGACAAGTGTTGGTTTAACCTGCTCTTAACAACTCCAGGGAAAACCTTTGTGCACAACTGCCAGGCACAATGCCCCCAACATCAAAAATGCCCTTTAATTGACTACAGGTGAAACAGGAGCGTGAGGGTATGTCAAGGACAGGAAGTAGTTTGTTTAGTAGGGGCCCTATTAACATTCAGTGACTTGGGCTTCCTTTGCCTATTTGCTATTTATATCATGTTGCTAAAAGTGAAAATGATGGTGTTAGCAACAAGTCTGAAACTGCCTAGAGTGTAAGACAATGCCATGCGTGCGAACCCTGCTGTCCTGACCCACAACCCATGCTGTTCCCATCCCTGGCTCCTTGCACAGCTCTGCAGACAGATTACAGTCCTGGCTGTTCCTGTTATGCCTGGTCTTCCTCCTCTCCCCTATTTGCATATGTCTCTGACACTGAGTTCCTAAATCAAATGAGGTTGGTTTTTGCTCTGTGCTGTGCTCCCAGCCCTGGCGCTGTTGTGCTGCTGATCCATTGCCGTGTGGAGCAGCCCTGGCCTGCCCAGCGCGGGGTTGGGGTCCCGGGCCGTGCTCACTCGGGGAGGCGGACGCGGTCCCCTGTGGGGAGCAGGCAGGTCCTCCGAGCTCACACAGGGGTAGGGCTGGGGCCCTGTGTTGGGGGGGCAGTGTGCATGCTGCTTGGTGTTTCTGTCCCCTCCAGTCAAGGCCGTTGGGCCGTGGCTCTGCAGCTTCCTCCCTTCCCCACTGCGGTTGGAAACTTCCCTCCCCCCAGCTCTTACGAAAGCTCCTTTCTCACTCTCTCTCCCCATGAGATTTTCCATCACGTGGTTTCCCTAAGCTGGGGGAGGAACGGGGCAGGAGGGGGTAGTTAACTCTTTGGCAGCCAGAACCCCAGCCCTGCCTTGACATAAGGCACACATGAACCTCGCTTCAGGCCTGGGGGTGCCCCAGGGAGGGAAGGAATCAGACACAGGCTGGCTAGTGCAGAGCTCCAGCTTTCTCCATCTTCTGCAGAAACCCATGTCCTGATCTAGTTACGAGGGTTAGGGTAAAGAAAAAAGATAGTATCTTTGTCATGTTACAAGGGTCAGTAACCACCTACTTCTCTGTGCCTGTGATAATCAATGGAAAATAAAGCACAATGCTGTCCAAAAATAACTGAAGCTTAATGAGATACAGATTGTAGCCAGATTGGTCTACAGGCAAAAGGAATCAGAACTCGTGGTAGCAGTGATATCCAGAGGCAACCCGAGCAGCATGTGGGGCCCAGGGCAAATCAGCCCATGCAGGGCGCCACCCCCGCGCTGATCCCACAGGCCCTGGACCCGATGAAGCTGCAGCGTCAGTGGCCGGGGGGAGGGGAGTAGCAAGCGGCTGGACACAGAGCCACCATTTTGCCCAGCTCTGCACTGCTGCTGCTCTGCCCAGCTCCATGGGCCCCCCCAAAGCACGGGGGATGGGGCGGTCGCCCCGATTCACACCCCCATAGGGATGGCCCTGGCAATATCTTTTAGTAGACCAACTAGATATCTGCAAAAAAAAATTCTTTATTTGCAAGCTTTCGGGTGCACACACCCTTCGTCAGGCATAGGAGAATGCAAAGATTGTAAAAGTTCTCCTAGGTAGAAATGAAAATTCATATTTCACAGGAGAGCTGAAGGTGTAAGATCTCCTGGTTGGAATAGTTCATTTTGTGCAAATTAGGCTCAGATAAAAACTTTTAATTTCCACCTAGGAGAGATTTTACAGTCTTTGCATTCTCCTACGTCTGAGGAAGGGTGTGTGCGCCTAAAATCTTGCAAATAAAGAATATTTTTTTGCAAATATTTAGTTGGTCTCATAACTGAAGCTGAATGGCTTTCTGGTGATACAGCCACTCCTGCTTTCAGGAGTTTCCCATTGTCCCCAAGTCGCTCAAAGACCACTCTGTAACAAGTTCATCCACAGTGCTAAATTACTACAGCCCCTTGCTGTGGTAGAAGAAATGCTGGGGATTGTCTGAGGCTGTCTGTACTTCCAGAAATGTGTTTACAGGCTGAAACTATTCATGAGACAAATAGACTATGAACAAATGGAGTCTACATTACAGAATCCACTAGGCCAGAGCATTGCCTGGACTCCTGAAAGACAGCATTAAACTTCAAACTCCTACTTAAGGGTCTGACTAAGGATAAGTGACTGCAGTGTTGTGTGGGTATAGCCAAACTAGTTTTAAACAAGAATCTACTGGTAGCAGTGGAGCTGTGACAGTGCGAATCTCTTGATTTAGGCTGCTAAACCCACTCAAGAAGAGGGGTGAGCACTCACATAGTTAGCTTAGGCTGAGCGTCCTGCTGCCATACTATCCCCATCTTCGGCAGTTGAAAACTACATTGGGCATGTCTGCAAGAGCTGCAGTCACACTTTGATTGAAGTATAGATATTTTGATTGTGTGAACTGCAAATCCATTGAGAGGGTTATGTAGTCAAGATGGCCTGTGACTAGTGGAAATAGGAAGAGGAGTTTGAATTGAATAGGAGTCAGTGATTACCTGCTTTTGAAGCAAAATTTGACAAGCTGCAATGAGAAACACAGAACAACTGAGCTCACAAGCACTTGAGAGAGATGTTCAAGCTGGAAGGGGAAGAGGTGCAGTTTCGCTATCTCCTAGCATCCACTCTGACTGGGGCCATCCAGACGAAATGGCAGGATTCTGTTCAGGGGACAGCACGCGGCACTGCAATGCAACACAAGGCTGGAGATGCTGAATTGAACAGCTGGCTACCAGCTGGGGACCATGGGGAAAGGAAAGCTGGAGGTGACCATTCCAGCCTGGCCTAAGTGCCCACTCTCGTGAAGAAACCATCCACATCCTCTACCAGGTGTCAGCCCAGGAACCAGAATGCAACAGAGCCACTGAAGGCACAAGAGAGGCCTGACTGCCTATGGGCTGAGGTGGGCCCAGCCCTACTCAAACTACCTGGGGTCCTCTCACTAGCAAACAACTGCTCAGGTTGTTAAAACCCTGCATGTTATGTGTCAACAGCCCCTTGTTCTGGGCCTCTGGCCCTGGTGATGTCCCACCCTATCCTCCAGCTGAGAAGCTGGTAAAGCAGCCAAAAGCTGGAGGCCTTCTTAAGACAATGTCCTGGCAAATTCAAGCATTCTAGGTTTAATGACCTAACACCACAGGAACTCACCACACAAGGACCCTTTGTTACCAGTTCACCAGGAGGCAGAAACCTTAGTGCCACCATCTAACAAATGTCTGCAACCAGGAACCATCAACCCTGCGGGGGCTGCCAAAGCCATGGAGCCAGAAACAGCACCAGAAAAAAGGTTGGGACAAGGGAGCTGAAGAGTCACCCTCTTGTAAGCGAGAGCAAATGTTCACCCCAAGCAGGGAGGAGCTGGAACGCTTGTCACCAGTGGTGCCATCTGCACTGATATGGCGTCAGAGGTGCTCTTGAAGATCAGTCCTACAGCAGCAACATCATATGTGCACCAGCAAGGGATTGCCACTAGCTCACTGTGCCAAGAAGAGATGGAATGCTGCTGAGAGGCCTTATAGTCTGGGGGTAGAAACATACACCCTCTCCAAGTCACGGGCATTGGCTACCATGGGCAGGCAAGCAGGCAGATCCACCTCAAAGGCCATACAAGTTACTGAAGAAGGAACCACTGTGGAAATAGGAAGTGGATGTGTGATCAGAAAGCCATTAAAGGTTCAGAGATCAGAGGTCCTGACAGATACCAAGTGGAAGTCCAAAATAATTCTCTTATCAGGTTATTTGCTCTGATGACCATTGAGTGTAGGCACCCCTGTCTGGTCGCTGCTGTTGTACTGATTGCATTCGCTTCAGGTTGCACTGGGTATTGGTTTGTTTTTGTATTATGCTTCCTGTATAGTCACTGGAGTCCCTGGATACCATCCGCCTGCCATGCCCAGCAGTGCACTGATGGTTCTTTGGACTGAGTGCTGACCCCTATGTGTTACTATCAGGTCCAAGCCATGAAATACAGCTTTGTTTCTTACCAGCACCTTACCCTGCATGTCACATGGTTATTACATGTCTCCCATTTGGCTACCCC